TCCTGCACTTCACTATTCCACCACCAGGTTTTCTGATAATCCATTCTCTGTCCAGATGACACACCAAGTACCTTCCTACCTGTCTCTCTAATTACTGTTGCTGTAGTAGTCCAGTCATCTGGAAGCTCTTTCTTACCACCCAGAGCCTTTAACAGCTCCTCTCTGAATTTATCACAACATTCTTCCTTCTTCATCTTCCACCGTTTGGTCTTCTTCTCTGATTTGACTCTTCTTCTCTTCTTCACAACAACAGTCATTCTACACACAACCATCCGATGCTGTCTGGCCACGCTCTCCCCTGCCACAACCTTACAGTCTCCAATCTCCCCCAGGTTTCCTCTTCTACACAGAATGTAGTCGACCTGCGTACTCCTTCCTCCACTCTTATAGGTCACTCTATGCTCCTCCCTCTTTTGGAAACAGGTGTTGACTACAGCCATTTCCATTCTCTTGGTGAAATCCACCACCATCTGTCCTTCCTGGTTTCTTTCCTTGACACCAAACCTACCCATCACTTCCTCATCCTCTGTTTCCTTCACCAACATGTCCATTCAGGTCTGCTCCATCACCACTCTCTCCTCCCTGGGAATACTCTCTATCACTTCATCCAGATCTTTCTCCTCCTCATCACATCCACCCTGTGGAGCATAACCACTGACAGCATTTAGCATCAGACCTTCTACTTCCACCTTCAGACACATCACCCTATCTGACACTCACCTCTACTACATTCTTTACCAACTCCTCCTTCAGGACCACCCCATGGTAAAACAGTTTAAAGTATAATTGTCTCAAATGATTGGGGTGGCCAAAGATTAATCTGTGGTGACTAATACAATCATTGCACCTGGTGGTGGATAAAATTGCTTCTCCACTCGCCAGGATTTGTCACTCTGCACTGCCTCGGACAATATGTATATTTTTAACACCTTCCTCTGTTCCTCTCCACAGTGCAACTCCCACTCACTTGAATATCTTGCAGAAAAAACATTAAGATTTACTTTCATTCCCTTTCAATTTCAGTCTAGAAAAACACTCCAAAAATAGAAATGTACCATCAAATCCTTCAGTGTAAAGTTCGTTTGATTCTTGAAATCTATTGAAGGATTTCTGGTCAAACGATAAACATTACTCCTGAAACCTAAGTTTTTGTTTTTTTATGTACTGTAAGGGAGGAAACGTGCCGATGTATTGTCAGTGGAGCAGGGAGATGGAAGTGTAACTTGGATGAATAAACATTAAATAGCACAGTTTTCAAGTTTATATGTTTCTGTAGACCTTGGGTAGGAACAAACACGCACCAACACTTTCACTGCTTTGACAGGTGAGCTAAAAGAATGGTTCCTTCATCTGATAAGGAGACATGCTTGAAGTGATCTTGGATCTGCTCCATCTGCTGTCATTTGTCAGTTGCTGACTGATGCTAATAAAAAATTAACTTTTCCTGCCAAAAGTAGGCTCAGTGGTTTACCGTCTTTCAGCATTCAAGCATGACATCTAGTGTGCCTTCTTCTCAGCCGGGCCCACCATCACCCTGTGCCCCTAGATAAACTAACAGCTGGAGAAGGGAGGTGTGGGTGCAGCAGAGGCTGGCTGACAGTGTTTACTCGCCCGTCTGACAGAGTGTTAGGAGGGCTGGGGCGGCTGCCTGCTCAGTACCCTCAGCGAGGGAAATGTACCATTAAGGTGAGAACTATCAATATCCCACAATTCCAGACGATGGTAAGATGGAACGAAGAAGCTGATGAATATAAATAAATCATTTAGGGTGGATGTTTTCAGAAGGGCATGACAGGATGGGTTCGTATGGGGAGGAGGAGGTGGGGAGAAAGCTCGGCCACCTGCTCGCTGAGGTGGACTCCAAGGAAAAAACATGAAGGATGTGAGCACCAAGTGTGGTTCAAGCTATCAGTCTGTCTGCACTGTCATCGCCGAGCATCTTCAGCAGACCCTGCCTTCCTCCTTCATCTCTGAAGCGCTCGATTTAAAGGAGCTGGACTCGGCTTCAATGGGCCATTTAGATTATTATGAAAGTAGTTAAAACTTTAGTCATGTATTGTACCTTCTAGGATTAGACTTTTGATGTTTATAGCAAAGTTGACACATTGTCGTTACTGGACTTATACTGTAGCATTAATGCAGTTCTGCTCTTAAGTCAAAATAATCAGACAATTTGTACTAACCATTAAAATATTTATTAGTGGTTTTACTTTAATGCACAAATACATCATGCCCTCTGTTAATAAATCATTTAAATTTGTTTCATTAGTAATTTTTCTGTTGTTTCATTTTGTTTTTCACTGCTCCTTTCTTCATGGTTCACCACAGTGAGTGAACTCGCACGAAGGTTTAGCAATTGTTTTACACAGGACGCCCTTCAAGGCTTTGAATGTTGTGGGGATGTCTTTGTTCATACGCCTTTGCAACATTGTGTGGACATCGGGGGCAGTGCCACTGGATTGGCAGACTGGGGTGGTGGTTCCCCTCTTCAGAAAGGGGGTCTGGAGAGTGCTCAAATTACAGGGGCATTACTCTCCTTAGCCTCCCTGGTAAGGTCTATTCAGGGGTACTGGAGAAGTGAGTCTAATCGTTGCTTGAACCTCAGATCCAGGAGGAACAATGCAGGTTTCTTCCTGGCCGTGGAACACTGGACCAGCTCTTTACCCTCACTAGGGTCCTTGAGGGGTCATGGGAGTTTGTCCATCCAGTCTACATGTGTTTTGTGGACTTGGAGAAGGCTTTTGACCGTGTTCCTCAGGGTACGCTGTGGGGGTGCTCCGTGAGTATAGGATTGGGGGCCCGTTGTTACGGGCTGTTCATTCCCTATACAAGCGGTGTGGGAGTTTAGTTCGCATTGCCGGTAGGAAGTCGAACGCCTTTAGGGGGGAGTTGGACTTTGCCAGTGCTGCCCATTGTCACCGATTCTGTTCATAACTTTTATGGACAGACCAACAAAGTCCATGATCAATAATCCAGGTATACAATCCAACAATTTTCAGTCAGGTCATCTGGACAGTTTGGAGTAAGCTGTTTGGGGGAAGAATCAGTTTTGTGTAGTGTGTTTCCTTGACTGATGAAGCCTTCTGGATGGAAGGTGAAACGTTTCAGAAAAAAAAAAAAAAACTGTCCAGATGACCTGACTGAAAATTGTTGGGTTTTATGGACAGAATTTCTCGGTGCAGCCAGGGACCGGAGGGTTTCCAGTTTGGTGGCCTCAAGATTCATTTCTGCTCTTTGCAGATGATGTGGTCCTGTTGGCGTCATCATGCCGTGATCTTCAGCTCTCACTGGAGCGATTTGCTGCCGTGTGTAGTGGTTGGAATGAGAATCAGCACCTCCAAATCTGAGGCCATGGTTCTCAACTGGAAAAGGGTGGATTGCTAAATCCTACAAGGTCTCACTTGTAAATGAGTCTTCGAGGCTCAATGTAATTTATCTGTATAAATAAAGGTTGAATAAAAAAAGTTCTCTTCAGGTCGAGGGTGAGGTTCTGCCTCAAGTGGAGTTCAAGTATCTTGAGTTTTGTTCCCGAGTGAAGGAAGAATGGAGCGTGAGATTGACAGATGAATTGGTGCAGTGTCTGCAGTATTGCAGACTCTGTGCCGGTCCATTGTGGTGAAGGGAGATAAGAGTCGGGAGGCAAAGCTCTCTGTTTACTGGTCGGTCTACGTTCCTCCCCTCACCTCTGGTCATGAACTCTGGTAGAGACTGAAAGAATGAGATCGTGGATCCAGGAGGTTGAAATGAGTTTCCTCTGCAGGAGCTGGACTCTCCCTCAGAGACAGGGGGAGAAGTTCAGTTATCAGGAGAGACTCGGAGTAGAACCACTGCTCCTCCACATCCAGAGGAGCCAGTTGAGGTGGTTCATCTGGTAAGGGATGCTCCCTGAGTGCCTCCCTAGGGAGGTGCTTCGGGCATGTCTGACTGGGAGGAGACCCGGGGAAGACCCAGGACACTCTGGAGAGACTAGTCTCTCTGTTGGTCTGGGGACACCTTGGAGTCCTCCCAGAAGAGCTGGAAGAGGCTGTGGAGAGAGATGTCTGGACCTCCCTGCTCAAGATGCTGCCCCTGAGACCTGACTGTGGAACAAATGGAAGAGGATGGATGGACAGACAGATGGAAGGATGGACAGATGTCTTTTCGTCCTTCCGGCTAATCGTCCGACAAACTAAAACCTCTTATTTCAGGTATTTAATAATTAGTATGAACCGTGGGGATGACGTGACATGTTGTGGTGTGAAACCAGTTATCGACCCAACTTCATAGCATCAAGTTAGATTTCTTAAATTTTGTATAGCTAAACTATTTGTCAGCACTGTAATCCATCTGCAGCAAAATAAATGTAAATATGCAGCTACGTGTTTAAAAGGTGGAACCAAATAATGTTTAATAACAGTGTAAGCTGTAAATTGTCTTTTCTTTTATTTACCGTTGTTGACACCTGATAAGACTGCTGATGTTTGTAAAAGATGTGTGGAACAGAAAATCACCATAAAATGTAACACTTTAGGGTTAAAGAGAAAGAGTAGTCCAATAAAAAACCTTTTTACTTTTGAGAGAGGAGTAAAGGAGGCCATCTTTGTGAAAAGAAACCGTCCATCATTAAACAGGGGTGGAGCCTCCAGGTTCAACTGTCCCCCTCTTACAATGCTGTGATTGCTAGTATCACTCAGCCCTCTGTGAACAGTAAACAGCCATCAGGTGCTAATGATCCATTGTTAGGCTGATGGTCCTTCTTGAGCATGTGATCAGCCGGTTCTGGTTGTCAGCAGCAAACTGGTTGATCCGCTCTGAGAAGGTGCTATTTAAGAGACTGAGCTGAATACAGCACCTCAGACTGAGGAAGTCCTCAGGATGAGAGACGAAACGTTTCTACATATTTTTTTGAATGTCCAGAGGACCAGACTTAAGTTTTTTAGATTTTTCTACCTGGATTATTGAGCATGCATCAGGATACTTTTTACTTTAAAACTAAGCTTCTATCCTGCTCTTTTCTTTAGGAGTGAAGATCTACAAAACTTTCTCATCAGTGTGAGACAACAGTGCTGCTACCTGACAGAAACTGTTCAGGATGTTGTGAGCCGTTTTCCTCGTCACGCCTCTCAGGTACAGTGTCTTCACCACTTGCTCAGGTCACTACAGGTGACCTCCGTCTCATTTATCACAGCAATGCAAGACGAGTTCTGTCATCACATGCAGTGTCACCAACAGTGGACTGAAATACTACTCACATGAGTACACGCTAACATCGTTCTGTTGGAATAGTTGCACAGTAGGAATGTGCAATACGGCATAAAATTCACATCACGATATGTCAGAGTCAGAGTTTCTTTATTGTCATTCGCACCTCATGTGGTACATGTGGTGGAGCGAAATTATGTCCACAGGGTCCCAGTTACATCCAACAATAAAATGTATAAGAATATATGTATATGTATAATGTATATGTGTTGTGAAGGGTGGCGATAACGATATGTATCACGATATGTTTTTGGTATAAAACTTGCAATAGGAATAAAAAAGCATAGGGTGTCCTTTTGCCATCATATATTTTGAATTAAGAAAATTCCACTACTAGGTGCAGAGAGTTTTTAAATGATAAATCAAGTATTAGGCTTCTTTCTTGTAGTGCAAAACAGTGCAAAAGATATCAAACTTAGTTTTAGGCATATGTTTTAAACAAAAGAATATGTTGTTAACCCTCAACAGTTTCCAGTCTTAAGAAATGAAGAGCAACAGACCAGCAACTGAAAACACTTCACCTCCAACCTCTAGTGGGCGCCTCCTTCCACTTTAAGGAGAGCCGACACAAAATGAGTCTGTGACCAGAGGGTCTGGCAGTAAAATCACACAACACAGAGTTCTTTTACAGATCGGAGAGCAGGTTTCTCTACAGCTGACCAACGCTTACTTTAACTTTAGACGGAAAAAAGAAACAGCATTCGATGGAACACAGCGTTTTGTGCATGCGTCTGAATACGGCAACACTACGGCAAGCCGGCTGTAGTTAGCTTGTAGCTTCACTACTTAGCTCTCCAAGAAAAGACTAACGCCACTTACGCACGGTTTTCAACTAAAAAAAGTAACGATTAAACTGACAGCTCTGATTTTACATCAGGCACAGCATTACTGCGGTTAGCCGGTAGAAGACAGATCTCTATCGTAGGCTACATTCTATTGTTTCTACCGTGTATCGTTTATATCACGCGTTCCTACTGCAAATAGGATTATATTTACCTGTCTCAGCTGCTTGTGAAGATTCCAGTCACCATGTCTGTGTATGGAGTTGTGCCAGAACAAGGCATGGACCGAAGAGTTGCTGCATCACGTTCAGAGATGAATATTCTGTCCTACATTCTGACAGATATTGTACATTCACAGGCAGAGATTTGTCATTCGCACGGTGGAACGAAATTATGTCCACAGGGTCCCAGTTACACCCAACAATAAAATGTAAAATAAAAACAGTGATAAGATCAAAGATATGAACTAAGAACAACATCAACTAAATATACACTAAGCACTAATAACAAAAAAACATTACGTCGAACAGCAGCACGAACATGAGTCTGTGTGAGCAGATGAGCACCATGAACACATCAACATGAAACAGATCAGCAGCAACATGAAACAGATCAGCAGCAACATGAAACTGATCAGCAGCAACATGAAACTGATCAGCAGCAACATGAAACTGATCAGCAGCAACATGAAACTGATCAGCAGCAACATGAAATAGATCAGCAGCAACATGATGTGATTTTTCACAGTGATTATTCTGGTTAGAGATTCATGAGTCTAACAGCCTCAGGGTAGAAGCTGTTCCTCAGTCTAGTGGTTCTACACTTAATGCTCCTCAACCTCCTTCCTGAGGGGAGTGGGGCAAAAAGTGTGTGTGCTGGGTGAGTGTGGTCCTTCATGATGCAGGTGGCCCTCTTCCTGCATCTGGAGGTGTAGATGTCTGTGATGGTGGGGAGACTGACTCCAACATCTTCTGTGCAGCCTTCACCACTCTCTGCAAAGCTTTTCTTTCTGCAGCTGTGCAGCCTCCATGCCACACGTTGATGCTGGAGCACAGGACGCTCTCCACTGCACACCTGGAGAAGGAGGTGAGGACTGAGCTTCCAGACCAGTGGGTGCTGGTCATAAAATTAGAACATCATGAAAAAGTTGATTTATTTCAGTAATTCCATTCAAAAAGTGAAACGTAAATTATATTCATTCATTACACACAGACTGATTTATTTCAAATCTTTATTTCTTTTAATGTTGATGATTATAACTGACAACTCCAACCATCTATCCAATCATCCATCTGTGAATCCATCCATCCATCCATCCATCATCCAACCATCCATCCATCCATCATCCATCCATAAATTATTCAACCATCCATCCATTCGATGCTCCTCAGGATGCTGAGGAACCTGCTCCAGATCCTGAACAACACGTCACCCCCCCCCTGCATGACACTCTGGACTCACCGCAGCACCTTCAGTTATAGACTGAGAGCACGAGGTGCTCCACAGAACAACACAGGAAGTCCTTCAAACTTTCAACTCCTCCCCCTTTCTACACAGAGGACAATAAAATTAATCCTGCACCAAAATAAACTCTTTAATGTTTCTGTCTGACCTGTTTAGATCTTAATGATGGTATTTTTATATTCTGTTATTTTGTAGATCTTGTGTGATTCTTGTGTCTGTTCCTTTGTACTGAAACTCTGGAACAATAATTTCCCGTAGGATCAATAAAGTTCTAGCTTATCTTATCCATCATCCAACCATCAATCAATCCATCCATCTGTCCATCCAACCATCCATCTGTCCATAGAGCCATCCATCCATCTGTCCATAGAACCATCCATCCATCCATCTTTCCATCCAACCATCAATCAATCCATCCAACCATCTCTCAATCAACCATCCATCCATCTGTCCATCCAACCATCCATCTGTCCATAGAGCCATCCATCCATCTGTCCATAGAACCATCCATCCATCCATCCATCCATCTTTCCATCAAACCATCCATCAATCCATCAAACCATCTATCCATCCATTAATTTAAATATTCATTCATTACTAAATAACACTCCAGTGTTTGCCCTAGTTTGCTTGCCTTGTCAGGACGCTCGATTAGCAACATTTGTCTGGAGCGGTGTGCCACAAGTCCATTCAGGTCTCTCTTGTAAACGAGTCTCCGAGGCTCAGTGGGACTAACCTGTATAAATAAAGGTTGATTGAATGAGTAAACCATTTCATTTTTGTTCAAATAGTGGGTCCTGCATCAAGCTGAGGTCTTACTGTGGCCAACCAGGACTCTGATGTTCTCTCTAAAGACTGGGATCAACACAGACATGAACTTGACCCCAGTGTCAATCCAGAACCAGTTACAGCAGCAGAAGAAAATATGGTTGAAAGACTTTTAAGGCTCCATGCCCGAGTTGTCGCACCCTGCTGACCCGAGACCGCAGTGTGCCTATAGTGCCAGTTAATTTATCAAATGACAAACAAAGCTTTCTTGTAATGTTGGTTTTGATTTGTTCTTTATTGTGAACACCAGCGCTGCTACGTGGAAAAGTTAGTTCTCCTGTTTGTTTTTGAAAATGGTATCAAGTTTTGACGTTCAAATTCCAGAATCATGTCAGTCTTATAATATTCAAAATAAAGGTTGGGAAATATTGGTTCCCTGCATGTCTCTTTGTCCCTCGTGCACTAAGCTAAACCTCTGTGCGTCTCTGGTCTTCCATGCAGTTGGTCTTCTCGCTGGACCCAAAGAAGGAAGCCCAGACTGTGTGTAACCAGCTCGTAGTCGTAACTAAAGATCTGCAAAAGGAAGTCATCTGCCTCCGCAGTCTGCTGTGCCAGGTCAACACATTACACACTCGTACAGATTAAGGGCAGGTCGGTGTTCTCACCTTTTTTAGAAGCGTGCAAAACATACACTGGGGGGGGGGGGGGGGGGTCGGTCCAGGACTAGAGCACGCTTTTCAAAATTATATAAGGTGCACTGATTTTGATGTTCCCTGAATGATCGACACGTCAACATGGTCCCACATGGCAAAAATTTGTCTCAGAGTTCAGTGAAAAGGCTGCAGAGATCGTCCCGTCGGCGAAGCGTCCACGTCCCGCTCAGAGGCGAGCGTTCACAAATTAATGCAGTTGAGCAGAACCAAAGAGGCGGAGCAGGACTCCGCTGCTGAAGCAGAGGGATGCATTCACTGTGTGTCGGACGTCTTCCTCGTGTCGTTTACTTTAATGAATTAACTCGCTTCAGTAACTTCAGTGTTTTTCTTGCATGCGAGATATAAAGCAACACAACCAAAATGCTCTGTCAGCACTGGCCGTTTGATTTTCTGAATTAGAATGAATGGGGGCTGTTGAGATGAGGTGCTGGTACCGTCGGATCAAGGTTTTCATTCTGTTTGACCACAGTCGTGGTGGAGTGTGTCTTCGGTTCTGATAAAAGTTTCCAATATGAACCAACCAGACCCACTTACAGACTCTAGAACGATTCCTACTACAAACTGAAAAAAACACTCTGCTCTCTGCCATTTATTACAAATGTTATTTATTATAACCGTTATTTATTATAACTGTCGTTATTTATTATAACTGTTGTTATTTATTATAACTGTTGTTATTTATGATAACAACA